CATCTTCGTTTTTTTTCTCTTCTTCTAACTCATCCTATTACAATCACGTCTGAACAGCAGCGCCATCAACAACATCAGAAGCGCTTGACTCGCACAACAACACACCATCATCTCATTAATACTCGTCATATCAGTTTATTTCTGTCTTGTTCAATCCCATTTTTTTTCCATTAATATCACCCTTCCGTTAATGTTCCTTCAAACAATTTGTCTGTTTCAGAGAATGTGTTGCATCAAGACAAAAAAAACCTGAAAAAAAAAAGAATTTTTTTTAAACTGCAATAACATTTCCCACCTTCTGCTGGCAACCACAATCAAAAGTAGTACACCATAAGATTCATCTTCCTACGCGTAATTCACGTTGTTGCTGTTGTTTTTTTTTTTCGCGTTCGACTGTTGTTAACAACAATTTTAATGGGTGCGTTATAAAAATTAATGAGCAAAATAAAGTCTAAAAAAAGTTTTTATTTCTGAGAAAAGAAAAAACAGTCAACAGTATAGAATTAAAAACCCATAAAAATGATCTTTTTTGCTGCAAAAAACGAGTTAATCAAATGTTTCTTCTGGTCTCTAACTTAATTATCGGTTTATTTATTTAGCATTGCTGATAGTCTGTTACTGCTCAGATAACGCAAAAAAGCATTCAATAATAACACCCTTCAGTCAGCCGAAAATGATTATTTTTCGTTAAATTAACTTTCAAAAAGTAAATAAATAAATAAATAAGTAAATGGAAACATTCATTTTTTGAGCAGCTGCAAAGAAGCACTCTAATGTATCCATAAGACGACCAAATTTTAATTCCAAAAGTTATTCTGCCGCGATTTTCTCTTAGCTTTTAGATGACCACAGCTAAAAAAAAACCAACTCTTCAGATATCGTTTTTCAGATTACTAAAGCTGTCGCGTAGCCTAATGTTCTTGCGCCAACAAAGCAAAAAATAGAAAAAAAGTTTGAAAAAATTAAGATGATATGTCCAGCCAAAACAAGAACCCCAAAGTTCACGGCTCAAACAGAGAACAAAGTCTCATAAAACTGACAGAAGCAGTTTAAACACAAAAAGAAAAAGAAAAGAAGAAAATTGATAACAGTATTTATAATGAAGAAGCGAATATCAACTGAAGATAAGAAAATGCGCCTACAAAGACAAAAAGTGCAACAAATGGAAATTTTTCAAACAACTTTTAAGCCGCAGAATATCTCTGATTTCTAGATGGGTACCAATGATCAATATACCACCACAATGGTACGGAGAACTTTAGTACCTTTTATGTCTTACAGAACAGAATAACTAAATGAAAAATAACTGACTAACTGAGTGACTGACTGAGCAGCTGCGGGGATCGAATAGCAGAGTGATTGACTGGAATCCAACGGTGCACTTAAGATTCGATAAAACACCAGTAATAGGTCTTTCTACTGGCTATTTAAGTTGGGAGATAATATTTAAAATAGATACAAAAAGATAAATAAATTTACCAAAACCAAAATCAGGAAAATAAAAAAGAACACTTTTTTAAACTTACCAAAGAAGAGAAATTAAACAAGCTAGGAAATGTAGAGTAATTGCGAAAAAAAAGTAGTTTTTTTTTTCTAGCTTTTTCAATTTCAAAACGAAAATTGGGAAAGATGACCGTTACGAGAATATGAAGAAGATATTTTTTGGACAATCAGCTTTGGCGGCAGCACCTCCACCACTAACAACCAACAAGCCGAAAAACTCTTCTGCATAACAACCAAAACAACAGCGATAGCAGTCAACAATTTCAGAGCAGTGTTATCTGATTTGCACAAAACTTAGACAACAATATTTAAATATTTTTTTTTGTTTTATCATTCCTGGTGATAGCAAGAAACTCCTGCTCTTCTTCTAGGTCTTTACAGGTCCATACGGTGAATTTTCGAATACACAAAAACATTGAAAAAAGCTAGAGCTATTCTCAAAGCACATGTGACTTATTAGTATATTTATCAAGTAAAAACTGTCTTTTTCTTATAGAGAAAGCTTAAAAAAATGAAACTAGAAGAATAGAATCTGGTGGTCAAAAATAAACAAAAAAGATGCGTTCTTCAATTAAAATAACATTTTTTTTTGCCAAAACTCTTACTACATTCCTTTAAACAGTTTTTGCCCGCTGTTAAATAAACAAAAAAAAATTACGATACACGTCTTTAAAACCATAATTCGCCTCACTCCGCCATTTTGACCAAGTAATAGCAATTAATTTTAGACCTACTAGTAAAAACAACAATTTATAAAAAAACTTGCAGTAAACCGTGGTGTTATCTAAAAAAAAAACTTATGAGTCATTTTTATAATTAAAAATAACTAGAAATAAAAAAATCTATCAAAAAGCAAAAATCATTGTTTTTATATCGTTTCACTGATGCTAACAATTATATCGAAGGTGTTTATTGTCCCACTGTTAAAGTTTTTTTTGGTATTCCTTTTTTTCTCATTAACTGCAATAAATACATCATTATATTCGTAACGAAAACGAACATTTGTTTTAGCAGTTTTTCCGTACGTAAACAACTGCAGCATGTGTTGACAATGATCTCACGATAATAATTATAGTTTTAAGACACTTACATATTAATCGAAACCCAGATACGTATGTATCAAAGTGCGCAAATTCACGCCAAATTGTGCACTTTTTTAGTCATCATCTGGAATTGTTTTATACTTTTTGCCTAGCAGAAACTAAACCTTAACCGAAAGACTAAAAAAGACCGTCGCGACAGTGCATTTCTGGCTAAGTTACAAAGTTCTGAGCTGCAAAAAAGATCTTCTGCAACATGTGCGTGTTCCGAAAAGTTCGGTTCCGCTTGCCGACGAGCGGCTCATATAACTTCCCGCTTATCCAGTAGGTAGTATTCGCCTACATCTCAAAAAAAATTCAACTATTACGACTCCAAAAAGTCAGTGCGTAAATTAGATTTTAAAGCGTTTCATCTGTACACTTCACATTTTAAGCCAAAATGAATACTTTACAAAAATATATCCTTCCTGCAATTAACTACAGCTTTGATCCATTCGCCTTGTTAAATCAAGAATTAAAATGCAGAGACTAAAACAATGCTATACAATTTTCTATGTTTTTATCTTCGTCTTTAATTTTTAATGAATAATTTTGTCATCTCCAGAATGCACAAGATACGTAGAAAATTTTGCAGTCTTTTTCACTCCTTACCCCACTACGTTTTACGAAATAGAACAGCAGTGCCAATGTAGCGTAAAGAGACAAGGGTCTAGGAATGCAAGTATTTTTTTGCTAGTAATTCCCTTATTTAAAACATTCTTTATATTGCATTTCTTCGAGCTTTATTTTAAATAACATTTTTTTTTTAGATCTTAATGTTTACAAAAAATTTAAATTCTTTCCATAATTAATGAAACAATATAAAATCTCTATTTTAAAATGTGTGAAAATTTTAATTTAAAAAAAAAGCATTTTTTATGGAATTTATTCTTAGAAAATAAATAAGGTTTTTTTGTGCATTGGATCTTAATAAAGATAATAGTAAAGCGTACGCTAAGTTAGTTTATGGTCAGAGCCTCGCTGTTGAGAAACATGAAACTTCAGTACCTGTAGCTCACTGCGACCAAAAAATCAGACAAAAGATCAGTTACATCCAAAAAATAGAACAAGTTTTGAAAATTACTAATAGAATGTTACACACAGTAAAAACAGCAAAAGTTAACAAAGAGAAATAAAAAAAAATAGTATCTTTTTTTAAACAACTGAAAAGGTCAAAAGACTCATTTATAAAAAGCGGTAACAAAATAATAAGAAACAAAGAAATGATCTCTTTTTCTTATTTTCATAACAAAGTTTTGTTTTCATTTATCTTTGAAACTTATCATCTTTAAGACAACAATATCAACTGAACAATGCAGTCAAGGAAATTATTTCATGAATTTTTAAAGATATTTTTCTTCCGTCTTGTTAGTTCCTTTCAGCAGTTAAGAAGAAAAAGTGAAAAATTTTTTTATTGATTTTCTTTACGTCAACTAATCTTCCTTTTGTCTTTCCTGTCCACTTTTTTTAACCACATTCGTTTCCAGGTTTTGTAAGTCTCGTCTTTAATCGCTACATCACATTAAAGTATCTCGAAACCTATTTCACTTTGTCATTCTACAAACATAGAGATGCACAAGTAGTGTGCAAAGCCTTCACAAATATGTAGCTACCAAAAGACAAAGTGTTTTGTCAATAAACAGTAACGTTGAAATTTCTTGAGCATTCAAAAGCGCGTTGCAGTAGGAAGTTACAAAAATGGAGAATGTACTTACTATGGTGAAATGCTTGAAAGCACTGCAGCTAAAAGTTAACTGCAAGTGACGAGAGCCCAAGCAATTAAAAAGTTCTCAGACTCTGGAACTGCCTTCAAGTCATAAACGGTAGTCCGGAAACACAACAGTCTGCCAGAAGACAACAAACCAAACCAATTAAAAAGTCATTAATTTTGACAAAAAATTGCAAAAATTTACTTAACAAAAAATTACTTACCTTTTTTTGCCACATCGAGAGAGGTGAAGCAGACTGATTCCGTTTCAGACTGCCATCGGTTACACTTCTTGAGTTCGCTGAATTACTACGACTAATTAAATTTAGTTGATCTTGCCATTTTGCACACGACAAAAGCTGAAAAACTTTTTTATTAATAATAACGTTGTTTCCAACCAACAGTAATTTCCTCCACCATACAGTCCTCTCATCTAATAAACATCTATACCCATTTAAAGAATAGCTCTAAGAGAAAAAAAAGTCAAATTTGAAGCTCCCAGTAGAGCAGCTATATTTTTGAAACAAGTTTCAACTTTTTTCTGAAGCTACTTTCCAAAAAGTTTTTGCTGCCAGTAATAGCCTCCCCCCTTTCTCTTATTTCCAATGTATAATAACCAAAAAGTACTTGCCCATAACCCAGTGCATTCTGCAAAACTGCCTAAAAACTGTTCACTTAATAGTTTATAATTTTAATATCAACACAATGTATCAACCTTTGTTAACAATTACAATAAGAAAACTGAAATCATAAGCAAAATAGCATACACTTGTCGAAGAACCATTATGACAGGGCGCATCAGTAGAGCGACTCTGAAATCCACCTGACCTTAAAGGTATCCCTAACTGAGCACTTTTTTTTTCTGTTAAAGGTTCTGGAACTTGCTCGTTGTCGTGTACTGACTGCGTCAGTCGTAAGTTAGATTCAAATTTTTTTACTCCAACATTATTCGGATGCTCGTTTTTAATTAGGCCATGTGGAGCTGTCACCACAGTACTGGTTCGTTGGTGGAACAGAGCATCACTAGCTGAACGCTCTACCAAATTACCAGGCCTTAACGACAGACTTGACATAGAAGTTTTGATTCTTCGTGTTTGTGATCTCGACTGTTCCGGTAAACTGGAAAGTTTTAAAGCCCCAGATCGAGACAAATCCTGCGGATTGCTAGCAGAACGAGACACGACAGTTAAACCAGCTTTTGGTTGGTTGACGTCAATGGCACTGTGGACAGGCTTTAAATCACTGTTAGCACCAAGTAGAAATGGTAACGGCAAGTATTTTTTCTTAAAATGGTCATTAGATTTTGCCAGTCTAACATTTGGCTTTTTCGAGCATGTAAGAACTACAGCGGAAGTATGCTGATTGTTACGGACTGACGGCTTGGCTAATAAATGGAAATTCGAAACACATTCCACATTACTGTGATGACTGGACGGCGAGATCTATAAATTAAAAACAGAAAATATTGAGTGTATATAAGATAAATAAGCGATATGTTATATTCCATTCGCAAATTTATCTCCAGTGCTTATTCAAACAGAAAATCGTTCATTAAAAGAAAAAAAAACAATTTAACAAACAAATCGCTTTTAACCTCATTGTCGTTTTTCATTTGTGAAACGTCACATAATTTTGGCGCTTCCGGTGAATACCTAAAAATGATTAAAAATCAAGCAGTAAAAGAAAGTGAAAAAAACAATGGAAACTGAAAATTGAGTTTTCTGTAATACAGCCTGAATTAAACAGATAGTTAAACAACAATTAAAGAATCACGCGTCTACGTCCTCACATAAATGCAGTAATCAACAAAAAAAACCTTGTCAAATTTACATAGTCCGCACTCATGCTTGCATGAATTCTATCATTTCTAACAAGCTTGTTACGGTTCTCATCTGAGTTCGTCCATATTTCTTCTGTGGGTTGCGGTGTAACTGCATGAGGAGTTTCATTTTCTGTATTTGAATCCGACGAAGCGAACATTGGTTTCAAAGCCTAAAGCAACACAAATAAATACGCATGAGCAAAAAGTATGAATCAGATGCTCCAAAGACGTTGAGCAATGTCTTTTTGATATTTTCAAAAGATCCGTATTTAGACTAAAGCCTTCACAGCTGAAATGAAAAGATAAGATGCCTTTAAATTAGCCTCTGAACGCCCATTCGGCCTCCAAGATTTATTAGAAAAATCCGACGAAACGGCAGAAGTTGTTGCATCTGAGGCTGTTGGTGAGCACGACGATGCTGAAGACAGCATCACTTCCGATTGTGACAAAAAGTTGTTCGTAATATTTTTGGGCACTCGATGTGGCGGAACAGGAGGCGCTTTACACTAAAAAGACTGTGACTGAAGTTCTTCCTATACTAGAAGTGACAGACAAAAAAAAAAAAAATAAAGGAAAAAATAACAATTACCTCTCGAGGATCTCTCGCTAAAAAGCTGCTGCTGCAACTACCATATCGATGACAGGACGACTGCTCTTTTTCAGCTGTTGAAAGTTTTAACTCCTGTTTTGCAGCTCCATGTGAAACGTTCAGGTTCATCGTGCTTGACGGCAACGAATCCAATTCAGCTAATACTTGAGAAGTCCACCTGTAGATGATGCATTGAAAATATGCACTTAAAATTTTTGGCAAACAAAAAAATAAAAAAGATGCAGCACAGCTTGTTATGACTGTTTTAAAAATCCTTAGCTTGTTTAAACAAAAAAAAAAAGATAAAAGATAAAGTTAAAATTTAAATCATTAACCTGACGACAGATTCCTGATTCAAAAAATCCACCATTGTACCGTTGATATCTTTTACGGAAATTGAACGTCGTACAGGTGCAGTGGGTTTTACTTCATCGTACCCAATGTTGTCAAGTCTAGAAATCTGGCACTGTATTAAAATCAAAAAGCACTAAATAAGAGGAGAAAAACGGAAACAGATTTTAAATAAAATCTTAAATTTAAAAAACTGCATTTGCCAAAGAAAAAACGTGTTGTAAAAGCAAAATGACAAACCTAGCATGAGATCTAGCTTGATTTAATCGAGTACAATCAGAATTATTGCTTTTAATGCTGGCAGTACCTCGCCTTAGCGCTCGTCTTGCAGCTGGACCTTTAATCAATGTTCCCAGTGTCCCCGTTGATTAGAATCAAAAGCAGTAGCAAAAAAAAACACAGTATTTTGAAAAAAACGCTGAGTGTAAAATTGTACCTTCATGTTACGTCTCTTAAACATTAGAATATCTCTATTAAATTTCGTGCTTTACTCACTGGAAATTTTTTTAAAACCATATCAGAAAGAAAATAAACTTGGCAGTAAAACAGAGTAACTACACCAAAATTAAAAAAGATCACTTTAATCTATACGCAATTTATTACTTTGAAGAAAACAACGAATCGATAAAGCGATCAAATATGAACACACAAAAGCTGCTCAACCACTTTACAAATTTTCAGATAAACCATTTAATCTTTAAACCATATACCCGTATATATTGAACGTTTAATAAAAAAGGTGGTTTTTTTTTGTCCTTTTTTTTTGTTGAAAATAAAATTTAAGCTGTACCTTTTGACTTAACAAACTGAGATGTTCGACTTGTTTTAGGATGAAAAGTGTTTAATAATTCTGAACTTGATAAACGCTTCAGTTGTTCAGCGCCCACATAGTTAAAATTCGTACTGTCCTGTTTGCTTCGCTCAACCCGCTAAACCAAGTAAAAGCTTTAGATATTCATTAATTCGTATGCAAAAATTGTTCAAAGACTTAAAGAGGATCACGGGAAAAAAAGAAGACGAGATAAGCTGCTGTTAACAATAATTAATTGTTTGCAACATAAAAGTTCAAAGTCAAAAGCGAGAGTCGAAAAGCAATAAAGATAAAAAGATGGATACTGCGATATGTTGACACGCAAAGTATATAAAATTAGCCAGCATATACTACTGCTCTTGATAAGATGAAATGCTTAAGACAAGCTTTCTCTACGAAAATTCTATTTGGTTGACTAAATCTAACAATAAATTTCAAATTTTACGACAGTGCAATACAAATCAGCTTTGCTATTTGCGTCACATTCTAAAGTCAAAAAATGCAGGTAAAAGTACAAATAAAGTATAAAAAATTTTTAAAAAGTGGTTACGATCGTAAGACGAAACAAAGGAAAATGCTCCCAACATTTTATTCCTCAGCGACAAAACCTCAGTTTTGATTTTAAAAAATCCCGAAACTTAGTCTCCATCAGCGACAAATAAACAAAGTTTTCAAACGCATTTTTATATTTTTTAATATATATATATATATATATATATATATATA